GGTTGGACGTCCCAACAGCTGCTTTTCCCCCTGTTCAACATGCCAAGTGCTGCCCAAAAAGCAGTTGGGGGGGTGCTGGTATTGGTTCAACGATAAAACATCTCCTTCTTTGGACTTTGGGTTGGCCTTTTCCCATGATCTGCATGCGCTGACCGCTGCGTTGAAGGTGACAGTGTTCGGACGTACTTGGAAGCTCGGCAGCGCGCTGAAAAACCACAGCGCCATCTGCCAGCGCGAAGCCTTGTCGCAGGCACTGATGACCGAAGTGAGGCTAAACACATCTGGCTGAAGCTCTGATTCAGGCATCTGGGCCAGCAAATGTAGAGCGAGTGGCCAATTTCGGCCCTTTTCAACGGAGCTGATGGTTGCGTTGAAGCTGATGACATCGTGGCGCTGATGGTTTGTCGCCTCGGCAAAGAGCTGCAAGGAATACTGCCACTGTTGGCCGCTCGCGCAGGCGCCGATGGCCGCGTTGAGGCTTGCAATGTTGGGAGGAGCTTTGGCTGCTGCCATGTTCCTCACTTGCTCGAAGAAACTACAAAAAAGAAAACATGACCCTAGCGAAATGAGGCCGGAAGGTCATGTTCCTCTTCATTCCATGCTAGTTTCAAATACTGGACGAACATAGCAAAGTTAAAATTGTGTCAGCTCAAACACTGGACGAACAACGAGAAGTTAACATGGTTACAGCTTAGAGATCGGCTTGGGGCAGTTGAGCACATGGCTATGGGTCAAAACCCCGTACCCCCAGTGAATATCCCTAATTCCACTAAAATAGGTTCTAAAATGGGTGGTGAATTCACCTACCAACCAAAATGGGATCCCAGTGGTGTTGATGAGTCTGACGACCGTCGTGGTTGATCCAAATGTTCATCCGCAGTTCGCCTTGCCGAGGACAAGGCTAGCATGGCGTGGCCCAAGTCTCTGAGGGCCGGCCAAGGTTTCGGGAACTGTCACTTCCATTTGGTTAAGACCCCTGATTTTTTTTGATTTTTTTAATGTGCAGCAGTGATAGATTCCATTTAATTGCCAACAGGGGAAAAGGAAAAACATATTTTTCGGCAAATGGAACTTTCAGACGGAGCTTCTCAAACAGCAGCAAGGCCTGCTGCCACAGCTGTTGACGACCAAAGGAGCTGATGCTCGAGTTGACGCTGCACACCTGGCTGGATGTTAGTTGCCCTTAACCATGGGGGTGGTCCGACCAACATCGGGGAAATGGTGTTTGAAGTAGAATTTCAGAGAACATGTTCACACCATGTTTGTTGAAACTTGGATCCTTTCGTGCTATCCACTAGAAACTGGGTCCATAGATCGGAAAATCCGCCGGAAGGTGCCTCAGGCTACATGCTTGATGTTACATGGAGTCTGGAAGAAAAACCAACATGCAAACCAATAGGCTGTTCAGCACTCTGCAATCATTACTGTCCCGCAAGAATAGCTGGCTTCCGCCACAAGCGCCCCCGGAGCGCAAGAACCGTTGAACGGTGTATCACCAATTTCTGGTCTGATCCAGCACTGGAAGCTTAAAACCTACACTAGCGGAGTCTGTCTATGTGCCAACCGAACAGACCAAACACGTCACCCGTGCTTGCTTCTTAGGCATCCCAAGAGGTTCTTCATCTTAGTTTTCCCCCACCAGCCAACAACAACATGTTTCATCGGTCATTATGAAGCAAACCTTAAACCTGTAAATATACTATGTGCGTATATATACATATATACACGGTTGTGGGTAAAAACCAATGGTACCATTTTGGGGTAGGTGAATTCACCACCCTTTTTAGAACCTATTTTTGTGGGGATTGGGAGGTTCACTGGGGGTATGGGATTTTGACCCAAAGCCATATGAACAACGAGTTCCCTGTGGTTTCAACCCATGTCCTCCGGGCAAAGCCTCGCCCGCACCATGCGCTCGAGGACATGTTTCCGGCCCGGCGCCATGAGCGGAAGGCCGACATGGGCGGTCAGAATTCTATGGGACACTTCCCATTCTTTCCAGGGATCCTTCTTTCCAGAACACCACCAACAACCCTGTGGAAGTGGCTGGTTGTTGAAAAGAACGATGGCTGAAAAGAATGGGGAATCAATCCCTAGAAGAATGGACCCTCCGCGGGCGCAAAAGACTTCACTTCCTGAGTGGATGGGCCCAAAAAGTGGCCAGACTTTTTTTGTCACTCAAATGCTCCAAACCCAAAAAGTGATTTGAAGTCCAGGAACTCAGGGAGTGAGTAAATGGGTGTGAAGTTCAGCTGGGGACCCGAAATGGTGGACACAAAAATTCGGTGGGTTTGTGTCCAACAACCAATTCTGAGATCGTCGATTGTTCAAAAATCATAACCCGGGCAAAACAAACAAAGACCCGTCCCTGTTTTGGATTGGATTGGGGAAGATTAAGAAACATGCGCCACTTCGCCCAGCACTAGTGAACAATCGCGCAGATTCGAGTATGTGCATTCATCATACATCATGTACTAGGTAGATCACACATGTAGCATACATGTACAGCGGCAACAAGAGATGGCCCATTCTGCGCGCAACTTGCTTGTTTTAGGTTGTGATCTCATCGCATTGAGGGTAGCATGCAATCAAATGAAGCTTGTATTCCCTATATGAAAGACTCCCTTCCTTCAGAACGGTGAGACCGGCTGCAAACCCCCTGCCGGCCAGGCCGTCAACACGGGGCCACGCCTACCTTGTTTTTGGCAACGCGCTGGAGATCTCGCAGGGAACCTGCCAGTTCGCCTTGAGATTGAGCCGGTAAGCTGATCAATCTGCGGCATGCAACGCGGTCACATCGAGCCATCCTGAAAGGAGGCCTTGGAGTTGCGGGCGACTGGTCCTTGGTCAAAATGGGTGAAACAGCATGGACATCGGACAACAAACAAATGTGGATCAAACTAGTTGTCCCCAGATCCCTGCAACAAAAGCACCTGTCACCTTTTTCAAAGCATAGTCTTTCCAGGATTCCTTGAGTTTCAAAGGCAGGAATTTGAAGACACTAGAGCCAGGTAGGGCAAACCTAGAAACAGTCCATTCTTTTCCCGGCTTCGAGTTCGAGCTTGTTTATTCTTGTGAGACCTGAGTCTCCTCCATGAGGATCGGACCCGACTCATGTTGATGGATCCGTCAAATCGCAAAACCTCTTGTTGATGGATCCGTGGTCAAGGGCAGGGCTGCCCATAGGATGTTGAAAGCCGGCCACATCACGCTGCCCCCGATGCCTCCGACGGATGCGCGACTGTGTAGTCGTAGATCCTTCGAGCCTGGCCGGCGAAACTGATTTGGGTCACGAAAAGTGAGCCATGGTTGACCCCTGAAACAAACAAGTTATGAGGGGTTCCCTGGAAGCTAAGAAGCTGATCACAAAGAGGAGCTTCAATCAGCCTGGCTTTATGAAAATATGTGCACTGTGATGTGGCTCGCCCACCTCATCCCCTTTGTCTGATCCGTTATAGTAAATGAAGCGAGCCTTGACGTCTAAATGAAGTAAATGAAGCATGGACCCTGGAATCTACCACGAAGTCGTGGCTGCTTTCCTTTACACGTATGCACTTCAAATCCTCCGTACCGAGACTTTGCGAACGGTAATTCCGGGCTTGTGAACATGTGCACTCTCCGCATGATTCCCAGTGGATAAACGCTTCAGAAAAAAAGACCCAGGTTCAAGTGTCCCTAGTGCCTACTGTCAGACTCTCCTCCTGAGTGGCCAAGCCTGAATTCACTGATTTAGCTTGTCACCAGACAAAAAAGAAGCATTAAGTCTTGAACATGCAGTGATAAAACCATTGGAACAAATTCGCCCAGAGGAAGACCACGGCTTCGAATAAATTTGGTGCTCCGGTGACAAATGCTGGCGCTCGCCTGTTGGGATGCCATAACTACAAATCCAAGCTCGAAATCGGAAAGCTTGGTGTGAAACATGCTGGAGAGGGGAAAACCACTCATCTGCAACCCACAACCCAAGGACCAGGCCTGGGGCACTGGAGCAGAACTGGTTTTGTTTCTTTGCCGAGTTCAGTCACATCCTCAGCTTTCGACTTGGCGCCTTTGCCAGCGACAGCTCGTCACCGAAGAGAATATCCTCAGAACGCAATGCGACGGAACTCGCATCCGCGGGAGCGTCCGAGCCGGCAAGCAGCGAAACCGAGGGCTAAAAAGGAAAATCCTCCATCCTGTCAGCGAACGTAAACCTTGGTGCGATAGGTAGGGAATGTGGGAACGAACCCAGGGGTTCCCCTAATGGAAACCACCAGTTGGATGGTTAAGAGGGGTCATTCCATGTTTCATTCCCTGCTTCTCGCACCAGCAAGAAACTGCCTTTGACATAGAAAGCAAATCCTGCAGCTGGCAACAAAATCAGGTGCCGTCCGATGCTGCCAGCCCCTTGCTTAACCCCCGGCGGCATTTGTGGCGTTCAACCTGGGTTGGCCACTAATCCATAGCTATGGGGAGAATGTCACGACAACTTGCATAACCCAAGCCAAGAAATCGGCTAGCTGTCCAGACTGAGCCCTGGCAGGATGACAAAGCGCGCTCGGTTGAAACGTCATTTTTGCATGCCTTGCTTTGAGCTTTGAGAGGCCTGCAAAGGGATGGCCGTCTGGGTGTTGAATCAAGCACCCAGCTGTACAGATTGCTGATATAGCAACGAGACGAACGTGAAACCCGCAATGTCCATTCAACGGAACACGCGATCACACGGGCAAGGGGAGCAACAGGTGACGATGAGGATTGGAAAATAGTGCACTGAGCTGGCAACTGTTTGCCCCCTTGGCTCAGGAAAACCATGCTGTCCGGGCGCAGGGATCTGCAATTTGCAGCTGCACCGAAAATCAAAAGAAAAACGACGAGCAACTTCCAATTGAGATGACTCGATTTGCACCGCCTTCAGGACGGCGCAAACTCTTCGGGCGGGGATCCAGTTGCCCAGTGACATGTAGAAAACGAGCTAGATCCCTCAATTGATTCCATTGTGTGGTTGTAAGAAATGATACAAAACGAATGGCAAAAAAGGACAAAGGGTGCCGCTGAACAACAGAAGGAAAATCGCCGAACTTGCCTCATGCGGGCTGCGGGCTTCGCCTTTCGGCTGCGTTGACGTTCGGCACGCGAGCGGCGAGGCGAGCGCGCCAGGTGCGCAGAAGCTCTTGCGTGATTGCGAAGACGACCTCGTTGGTGAGCGCACTTCGGGACTCCTAACGGGCGCCCCGCAGGGCGTATGGGAAAGCTGGCGCCGTGCCACCGTGATACCATGAACCTGTGTGACTGCTTTACGGCAAGGGGCTGCCTTAATCACAGGCTCATCCGATACCGAAACTTCAAAGCTCCCATCACTTACCACCATGAAGAAAGGGAATCTAAATCCGAAGCAACGGCTAAACCGCGTAGCTCTAAACCCGACCAAGGGCGACCCAATTCCCCTCAAGGGAACCAGAGGACTTGTGTCCACCACTTTGCCACTTTGGTCCAAACTCAGAAAGTGACGAAAGTCCGAAACGGACGATCCCCCGCTAACAGTTTAACTCTTAGTGGGTATAATGTAGACTACCGCTAAACACTAAAAGGCTGAAAAGCTAAGGAACCAAACGACTGGGAGCCACCAAGGTTCATGAAATCTTAGGGGGGAAGTTGGGCTGTACACCTTCAGTGGGTATTAGGATGTTGCACGCCCGGAAAACCAGCAGGAAGACCCGACGCGGCAGCATCCGCCGGATTCGTCCTGCGTGGAAAGGGCCTGGCGCACCGCCTCGCCCAGCTCCGCCGCAGCGGTGTCCTGCACGGCAACTAGCGACGCCCTCCCCCCGCTGGTTGGTTGCCCCAAAAGCGGCAAAAAGACAACAACAAACAACACATATATATATATATATGTATATAACATGTATGTATACATGTGTATATATATATGTACATACACATATACTTATATGTATATATATATATACATATTATATATACATATATATATATATGTATATATATATGCATATATCAAATATGTATGTATGGTAAGCCATGTACCATTATAAGCAAACAAGAAGGTGCAAACTGCTCTTGGCACATCAATCGCGGCTCTTTTCACTTTGGTCGAACTTGTGCAGAACGTTTACGCGCATGGTGTCTGGGGTTGCCGGGCTTGCAAGCGGCCCAACCCCGGTTTGTCTGCAAAAAGGGAAACCCAGAAGCAGTACCATGTCCCACTCTCCCACTTTCCAGCCGAGGCCCTGGGGGTGGCAACTCTCAGTGGACTCTGTCGCAGCCATACATCGCCCTAGCCTGAAACAAACGACAGTATCTCCGTTGAAATGGTTATTTATCGCATAAGGTACACCACCAAGTAACACGGAAGTGCATCTGTGAGACGATTTTTAGGGGCTTAGTGCACTTGCAGGTTAGTTGGGAGGGCAATTCTGAGAGTCATGTGGATGGACAAAATCCACAAACCGCACCTCATGGGATGGATGAAGCCGAACTTGATACCAGGCTGACAAGCCATCAACTGGTGCTGGGGACTTCGTCCACCCCCAGTACGTCTAGGGGAGACTTCCCCATTCTTTCCAGGATCCTTCTTTTCTAGAAAACCATCAGAACCCCAGGGGAAACAGCTGGTTTTTGAAAAGAACCATGGTTGACAAGAATGGGGAATCAACCCTGGAGTATTACCCAACAACCCCACTCACATTATTTGGCCCTTCACACTGCCGGAGCCACCTAAGCAGCAACGGCGACAGATCCTTTTGTGGTTTCCTTCCGCGGCACACGGCACTTGTCGATTTTGACACGTCCCCAAGTAAGCAGCGGCGACCAACACCCAGTCATGCTGGTTACAAGTCACGGATTTTTCTCATTCCAGTTTAGGGCATGCTGAAATCCCATTCAAAGAGGAAGTGTCAAAAATGTCTGGTGGGAGAGAGGAGTCCGGACTAGCGCTTGTGCCCTTGGACACCCGCCCCCCCCCCAAAAAAATAAAAAAATAAATCAATAACAAATGCTTTGTTTCCCCGCTTGGTTTCCCTTTAAGACCCACAAAGAGGGGTACCCTGTTTCTTGGCTTTAAAGGGAAACCCAACAGGAAACCACCGATTTGAGGAAGTGCCCCGATTTTTTACCACTTTTTCTGCTTGATTCTCAAGGAAAAACCAAAAGGAACGCCGAGTGCCCCGATTTTTACCACCTTTTTACTTGGTTTTAAAACACTGAAGCCGTTTTTAGGCCAGACGGTCCCCCGATTTTCGCTCGACCCCAGGCGACACGTCTCGTTCCTGGCCCTGCGCCACGGAGCGCAAGGCCGCGAGGATCGCCTGGGGCGAAGCCTCCGGCAACTCGTCCACCTCCAAGACGCTCCTCGCAACGCCGGGATCGCGCGGAGCGCAGGCGGAGATTCGGCGGCGATTCGGCGCCCGGAAAAAAAAGGGGTCCTGGTGCCACTTGGTTGACTTGTTGGAAGGGGAGCAACAAAAAGTAAATGTTGGCAGTTAAGAGGTTGGATTTCAACCACTAAAATACAATAAGCAAAAATGTAAAATGTTTCCCAACAACCATGATATGGCGCCGTATGGGTGCTAGATGCTGCTGCGGTGACCTAAGAAGGGGGCCACATATGGTGAAATACATATGGTGCTATATGATATATTGGTTCTAGAGGGTGCTGTGTTGGTGCTGGGGGAGGTCATCAAAGTGAGCCTCATCACTCGAAAATCCCTCATTTCCTTTGTGGATTGGCCACAAAAACGTTTGAACTTGCTATTTACCACCAAAATGGTATTCCCAAAAGTTTAAAGTCCAACAACTCAGGCAGTGAGATCCTATTCAACCATCCATTCCAATTGAATCACCATCCCTCTTCACCCCGATAGGGATCGAGGCTTTTTTCAGTGGATGTTCGCTCCTGGCGGCCTCGTTGAAGGTGTCAAAGTCCACATCCTGGCGAGTCACGCAGGGCTCTCCATGAACCGAACCGCTGGACTCGCCCACGTCCCTTGGATCCTTGCTGGACTCAATGCAACCTGCAACTCCAGACCCCCTCCCCGATTCGGCCTTTCGCAGTGCTTGCAATACTTAGGGGTTCCATCGAGTAGTTGGAGTGTGCTCGAACAACGCACGACCCCAATCATGGTTGGGCTCTTGTCAGTGCTTGGAAGGATCACTTTGCTTTTTTGCTACAATGAATACAAAAGAAACTAAATGGGGCGTGAGGAATCTTTTGCGTGGACAGTGGGTGGACACCTGACATGACCACACGCCCTTCTTCACCAGTCCCCCCAAGAGCTATGGCCTACATGCGTTTTCACCAGGTCATCATCTTGTGGGCTCCTTTAAGCATGGCACGAGTGGCACCTATTGTTGGCTTCACTTCATGAGTTTGACTTTTCACCTCCTCTTTGCCTTAACCTAAAGTTGGCAAACATAACCCACCTCTACATGAGGAGCCAAACCTTTCCCCCTGCAACATCTCCTACTCCCTTGAATGTGTGAGTGCGTCTTTGACTCAGCAACAAGCTAAGTGCTTGCTGGCAGGGAATCAAGTTCTTCTGAAGGTCCAGCCCAAAAGCAAGCAAGAACAATAGACCTCCATTGGTGCGAAACTCCGCGGCTCCAGACTTCCCGTCACCACACAAATGAGCGTCTGATGACTTGCCTGTGACTGTGTCAAACTCTGGACCAAACACAATTGACCGAACCACCTCGTCTCGCTCAAAGCTACAATCGTAGCCAGGCATCTACCAGATCTTAAAGCCGCTAAACATGGCCTCCTTGAACATCCCAAAATACCACCCCTCACTTTCAGCTCCTTTCATCCCCGGTGCCCAACAGCCATTTGCGCAGTGCCCAAAACCCGAGACTTGTTCTACCTCATAAAAGCTCTGGGCTTTAGCCCACAGTTTTTTTGACCCCACGACACCAGGAAGGAACCTGGAGCAACCATTTGCAAATTGCGGTTTCCCATGCCATTTTCCATCAAGAAGGTCAGTTCACAGGAAATGGTTGTTTGGGAAACCGCCATTTGTCAAATGGCCATGTGTCAAACTCCCGTACCCCCAGTGAACATCCCCACTAAAATAAGGTTCTAAAATGGGTGGTGAATTCACCTTCCAAAATGGGATCCCGTTAAACGGTTTTAAGCTACAGCCAAATGGCCGGTTCAGGTTCTAGGCAGGAAGGAGGACATCGGCTTCGGCCTCTGAGGTGCTGAGCTCCGGGAAGATAGCCTCAAAGACCTCCTCGCTGCTCAGGATGTCCTTGGAGATCGGATTCGCTGGGAAGTGAATTTCGTGACCAAACATGAAACACACATACCCCCGTAACCTCCAAATACCCGGCCTTTTTTCAGGGTATCATGTCGACCCTCTACTAAAAAAGGAGGTATTACCACGGAAAACCAGGTTTTCCCAAAAATGCCCTGCAAAAAGTGGGTATTTTGATGAGGGGGTAGTTTTTGTGGGATGTGTTAAAGGAGAACTAGAGGCAAAGGGGATGTTGATGGAGATGAATCCCAAAAGAAGAACCAATTGGGGGGGGAATCGGAATGGAGACTAAAGGAATTCAGCTGTTTAGTGTTTTTATTTTTTTTTTATTTTTTTTTTTTTATTTTCTGAGGTTTAAACATCACTTTTGGGGCAGAGTTCAAAGGTGTTTTTGGTGCTTGAAAGCGGATTTTCGGAAGTTCCCCTACCCCATTTGGGTATTCCCAAGACCCGACCAATCCTCACAAAGGTAGTACGGTAGAAAATGGAACGGCAAAGGGAAACAAAATGACGCGTCCTTTTCAGCATGAGTCGAATTAGCATAGTTCGCTGGATAGCTCCTACACTGAACTGGGCTGTCCTCAGATCCCTTGCGAATAGTTTTAACTTTTGGTGGGCTAAACATGGAAACTACCGCTAAATTTGAACCAACTAGTAACCTAAACACACAAGGAACTGGATGGCCGTGAGCCACCAAGTGAATCATGGAAGTGTGAAAAGGAGCGGCTGCACAGCACGACAAGCTCTCCCTCTGCAGTTCATGCCGTTCTTGTTGGATAAGGGAAACCAAAAGGACACCCTGACCTTTTTGTGGCTCCACTTTGACACTAAGTGGACAGAAGGGTACCCTCCGTTGCCATGGGTACCCTCCCACTGGTGCTGTGCTAGAAGGGTGGATCTCCAAATCCCAAGAACCCGACTCGTTTTCAGACAGCAAAGACAAACGCCTTTTGGACTTCCAGACTCGTTTTCATCAGAGCTAAAAAAGGCACATCACAAGGACACCACCTTCCTTTGGGGGGATCCCCCATTGAGACACACCCTCTATAATAAGTGCACAGTAGGGGCCCAAATGGCCATGGGTCCAAATCCCGTACCCCCAGTGAGCATCCCAATCCAACCACTAACATAGGTTCTTACATGGGTGAATTCACCAATCCCAACCACCCAAATGGGATCCCTTTTAAACGGTTTCGACCGCCAAATCCCTCCAGCCCGGACCCAAACCGTCGCGTCGATCGCTTTCGATCAGGGCTGTGGGGAATGACCACTTCTGTACAACAGAAAGGGCTCCCCAAAGACTATGTTGTTCATAGAAAGGGGGATTCACTTACAACAAAAAAGGGCTTTCCAAAGACTAATCCCCTCTAAAGGGGGAGATTCCCACAAGTATCACAGTGGGAGAAGCCCCGAGTGATCCCACACTTTCGAATCCAGGGGGCCACCCCGTGGCGGAAGGCCTCGGGCCCCGAGGCCTCCAAGTCTTTGGGCACCGGGATGAAGAGCGGCGGCACCGGGGGCTGGGGCAGGCGGATGCCCAGGACCTGGTCACAGGAATGGGTGGCTCGTCTGCTTCCATTTGGAGAAGGCCCCAGGAAAAAAGGAAAAACATGTCCAGCAGTGATAAATTCCTTTTGAAACCAACAAGGGATAATAATAATAAAAAAAGAACTATTCTTAAGCAAATGGAGGTCTGTGTTTGAAGGATACCCCTGGTTGGTGTGTGTGGTTCTCGTTTTTTTCTTGAAATACCCCAATTTAATTGGTTGGTGAGTTTAAAAGGAAACCCAAAGGATAGCTCATTGGAATGGGATTCATGTCCAGCAACCACCGCAATTTGAATTCATGGCGAGATATAATTATAGATTTCTAGTCAAAGACCTCTTGGTGGGCAGCATTGGGCTAGGAATGTACGTCCACCCACAGGGAGGCCCTAACTTCGTCAACCAACGAGCCGGGGCGTGGTTCCGCCCATTGAGCAACTGATACTCAGACATAGCTTTGTTGATTGGATGCCATCCGCGCCTAAAGCGAAAATCGTCACCATTCGTCAACCCCGGACAAAACATTTTGCTGGGTAGACATCAAACAACACCATGTTCCTCTGCCAGATTCATTCGGAGTGGAAACACTTCCCGGGGCCCGGCACTTTGAAGGAAAAGTTGTCCGAAATCTCTCGACAGATTGCGGTCCGAATACGTGCTGGCTATTTACTTCTAATGATTTGTTGCGTCTTTTGGAAACTCGGTTCGCCTTGGGGGTCAAAGGAAAAAGGGGAAACCCACTTATTCTTGGGGCTCTACTTCGGAACAAGCCCCCAAAAAGGTTGCCGCAGCTGAATGGGAAGTGATGGAAGCAAGTTGGCCCTACTGTTTTTTCCCAAAGAACGATTGCCGTAAATTGGGGAGCCATTATCCAAATCCTCCAAAATTATGTTTAGCCCCGAAACATCCGGGGAAGAGGCAGCGGCGGAAAAAGGGACACCCTGTTTCGTTGGTTGGTTGACTTGAACTGGAAGCCAAAGCGCCGAAGTAGCCTGTAGTGGAAAAAAAGGAAGACAATTTTGAAGGGAAGTCCGGGCACCACAAGTCGGTTTGGGTTGGAGAATTCTCCCAAGCCGAAGCATTGTGGTTTCCTGAACCCGAAACTGCTCATTCCCAAATTTCTGCCCATTCCCTACCGTATGTATCATTTTTTGTTTGAACACGCATCTGACTGCACCCCACATCTGACTCCAGAAGAGCTAGGGAAGTCTGTAAGTACACCCTAAAACAAGGATGCCGGCCGTGGTGCCGCCTTGTAACTGTCGTCAGTTCCAAAAAACACGATTCTTGCATTTACAATGCGTTTGAATGATTTCTGGCTTTCCAGGTGTTGATCACGGATGTTGCTTTTAGGAAGTTTTCGTTGCATCAATCTGGCATCACTTACCAGCTGCCGCGGCCGCAGCCACATTTTTTCATATCTCTTCTGGCTCTCCTCAGGCCCACAAAACCTTGGCCAGTTCCACTGCCAAGTCTCGGCCCAACGCCTTGGCGTTTTTGCGCCAAGCATACTGATACGCATACTGCAAAAACTTGTCACAAGCTGTCTTGCCTTTCCGGATCTTCATGGACGATGGGCGCCATTTCTTCAGAGAGCGCCTGACAGAGTCCAGCATCTGTGTCCCTGCCCAGCGCATCCCAGATGGCTGACACGGACGCAGCTTCCCGACATACTCATGCTTGACGTGGCTGACCTGCTTCAGCACCAGCTTTTTGTGCCTGCACTCTTTGATCAAAGTCTTGTAGCAGGCAGCCCCATCTGTCGCACCAGGCCACAAACAGCTGCCCACTGCACTGAGCCAGCCGATCAAAACGTAGCTCAAAACGATCTTGGCACACAATGAGCTGCTGCACAAATTGCAAGTGCGGGTCCCCAGTGGAATACCGAGTTTCCACATCCAGCAACTGGTCTAGAAAATGTATGCGAATGGTTTAGGGCTCACCGCCAGAACCGCATCCTCACGCCTTGCCAGACGCAACAAAATGATGCAGGCCAAAGAGAGGCAGAGCTGGAAATTGTCCATGGCTGGAGAGAGTTAGCAAAACGGTCCAAGCAGGCTGATCATGTCTCGGTGACTGTTTGACGCTAGTCGGTGATGGTGAGCCTGCGCCCGCTGAAAAATGTATAATGCAGCATAGGCACGTTTATTTTCATCCCCCCCCCACCCCCCCCCCCCCCCACACATGCAGCTGGGGCCGGAGATCTGCGAAAAGCGCGCCTGCCACAGGCGGTGCAGCGGCCGGCTGCCAAAAACAACACCCTACGAACCCCTATGAACTACGAATTCTTGGGAACCCCTTTGGAATCACTGGAATCATTGGACTCATTTCCTACGCCTCAAACCAGGTCAAATAGGCAGAACCTTGGAAACCCGAAACGGTACATTCCCAAAACCCCTGGTTTCTCCCTTTCAAACCCAGTGCAACGGCTTCCCAAAATAGGACACCCAAGTTGGTTTACCCTTCCCCAAGAGCTACCCCGAAAAAGAACACCCGCAAACCAGCGACCGCCCCCAAATCGCTCGCAAAGGCGCGGGCACCCGCGGCGCCAGCAGGTCCCGTAGGTTGCTGCGCACGCGCCGTGCCGTGCGCCTGAGCACCAGATCCAAGCCGTAGCTGAGCTCCGCGTTCAGCAAGGGCCGCAGCTTCGAGGCGTTCGGGGACAGCAGGAACTGCAGCACCTGAACTCGGTTGCTTTCTGCTCCCCTGCTAAAAGTTGAACTTTGAGTGGTTCAATGGAAAACCCTTTTGTTGGCAAAAAAGTTAAGGTCCTAACATCCCAGCAAAAAAAATGCACCAAAGTGAAAGACTGCCCAAGGAAAGAAGTGAGAGTCTCTTCTAGGTCCTCCAGTAGAGAGGTTAGAATAAGGATACCATTTTTTCTCTAATCTATTTTAGTAGGGGAACCCTCACCCAAAAAAGGGTGAGAAAGGGCACTAATGGGGGACCTAGTCTTGCTGTGTGGAGAACCCCTCCTAAAATGGTGGGGTTCCTTGTGGTTTCCCAAACCAACAAAAAGAGGGTCCCTGCCCCCCCAAAATAAAAACAAACATAAAATAATAATATGATGGTTTTACTTTACTTTGATTGCCTACTTGCTTGCTTGCTTGCTTGCTTAAGTATGTGTGTCCGTGTGTGGTGTTGGTTGTTGCTTGAAGTTTGCTGTACATGTTTGCATCTTGTTTGTGTTGTGTCTAGTGTGTTGTAATATTGCTGTAATGGTAATTGCTGGTGTTTGTGTTGCTTGGCATGCCTGTCTTTTGCTGTAGCTGCTTTGTGCTTGGTGTTGCTTACCCGGTGCGCTTTGCAGCAAAAGGCGGACGTGCTGCGTTTGCTTTTGTTTGCTTCCTGGCTTGCTTTGTTGCTCCTTTGTGCGCGAACTCGCAGGTGCCAGGCAAATCAGCCACAAAAAACCTTCGCCGCCCGCCGATCGGGCGTGCAGGGAAGTCGCAAGAAATGGGCGAAGGGTTCGTTGCGCCATTTTGGAAGGGTACTCTTCCAATGGTTGTCCATCTTGCAGAATAACGCAACATAATAGCAAGCTGATTGTGCTTACTTGCGGAGAAAGCAAGGATAAGGGTTAATAAAGGGTTTACGACTCGACCAAGTTGTTCATCATAGTACATACGAGCGCATTCATCTGGACCTGGACAACACTTTCAGAATTTACAATTCAAACAAAGGGTTCCCTGTCAAAGAAACCTTCATAAAAAAAAAAAAGAGCCAACCCTCGTGAGTTTGCTTCGCTTTCTGAGCTTGGCACTATAGGGTGTTTGTTGGCACGTGAGCTGTTTGTTTCATGCCCATAGAGAAAAACCAGGTTAGCTTCCTCCGGAGGAAAACGCGAAGGGATGCTGCGTGGCGGGACAACCACAGAGACTTTTTGCCGATTTGGGGGTACCCCTTTTTTCGTGGCTTAAAGACAAACTAACACGACGGCCCACGGTTTAATAAAGAAAAAAGAAGAAAACTCTAGGGGTACCTTCCCCATTCTTTCCAGGGATGGACAACGGATCAGGTTTTTGGAAAGAACGATGATTGAAAAGAACGGAAAAGGAAAATCAACCCCTAGAAAAACAAGAAACAAAACAACTAGGGGGCGTCCCCTCAAAAGAGACACGGCCATGGCAATCGGCTGCCGGTGGCCGTCGGACCCTCGGACCCTCGGGCCGTCGCCTCCTTGGCTGGAGCAGAGTCCTTCGGCACCGAGTCGAAGTCGATGAAGCCGCTCCTGACCCGCCCGCGCCCGGGTCCCAGCCGCTGCTTCTTGGACACGGATTTTGGAGGTTGCAAGAGCAGGTCCTCCATTTGCTCAAGTCCCCTAGAAAAAATGAAAAACAATCCAGTAGTGATAGATTCCCTGTAACACCAACATGGGAAAGTTGAAACATATTCTTCACCAAATGGAAGAGGTGTTGAGGGTACCCCGCCACAACTGCCTCAACCATGTCCAAAATCCCAAGTACTGTCCAAAAAGCAGCTGTGTAGGCCGTGCTGGTAGTTGGTTGATTCCATCTTTAGGTTTGCCGAACACGCCAAACGAGAGGTTGCTTCTTCTTTTGTTTTGGGGGCGGGGGTCCACTAAACAACTGGCACAAACACCCAAGGATTGCATGTCCTTAAGGTTCAGGGCGCCTTTGAGGGTTGCAATTGCACGCCCTGAAGGATTGCAAATTGCCACTGACACCAAATACCAAGGAGTTTAGAGGATGGAATCAACCAATCTACGGATCTAATTAAACAAAAAGCAGCCAGCTTGTGGCTTAACAGGGCTCCCCCACATTTCGCCTTATATGTAAGGGAACTCCCTTGGAATTGGCAAACGGGTGATGTGGCCATGGGTCAACATCCCGTACCCCCAGTGAACATCCCAATGCCCACTAAAATAGGTTCTAAAATGGGTGGTGAATTCACCTACCAACCAAAATGGGATCCCAAAACGGTTATGGCAACCACAGCCATTTGCTTTTTCCCAGCCAATCCAAATGCTTGAACCAACCTCGATTGCTTTCTGCTCCCCTGCGAAAAAGCTTAACTTTTAGTGGCTTAATACGGAAAACCCATTAGTTGGCAAACAAATGCCCCAAAGCAACCCAAAGGGGAAATGTGGCGACCCCCCCACCCCGGTTTCAGCTGAACCCATCCTCGAGTCCGCATCCGCCACCACGCCCAAAGACGCCTGGAGCATGGTGGCCAAGCGTTGAGGCCGCATCCTGCCAAAGCTCCCGGGCTCCGGGACCCGTTCGCTGGAGGATTTGGCTGTGTGGGTCGAAAATGGAACCTTGGTAACTGGAAAGGTCGACCAAGGGCCAATTCCTGGTGGTTTAACTTTGACCCACACCCATTTTGTTCAGTCATAAACCTGGGATCTGGGTAGAGTTCCAGAGAACGCCCCAAAAAAACACGCACAGCCTGGTGCAAGAGAGGTATCAAAGCAGGGATCGACGCCCATTGGGATCCTCTAATACGCCATGAACGGGTTGACCATCCTGCAATTTGGCAGGGAGCTTTTCGGTTGTTGCTCCGTGGGACGGCTCGTTGAAGTAAGTCGTGGAAACGTCGTCCGTTGGTTTCGTGATAGGAACCCTTGCATATAGAGGGAGAGAAATAAGCAACACCACCAACGGGGCAACTGGCTCGAACGAAAGTCGCTGGGACGTGGTCTTGCGGCAATGACTTCGTCGCTTCGACCATGTGGTCTGGGAAGGCCACTACAACTTGCCCGAGCTTCTCGGCCAAAACAAAACAACACGCCACGGCGGCCAACGACATTGACTAGGTCCTCCAGTAGAGAGGTTAGAATAAGGGTACCCACTTTTTTCTGTAGTCTATTTTAGCAGGGGAACCCTCCCCAAAACAAAGTATTTAAAAAACAAAAAAACAACAACGCACTACTGGGGACCTAGTTGAGCGTGAAAGCAATTTGGGGTCCATGAACAACTCCGTGGTTTCCGCCTGCCCGCTACATTGGACCGCCCGGCAATGGGGCTCTATGGATTCGTATCAATCTTGCACCGGGGCTTGGTCACCGATAAAGGCCCCCTATCTAAATTACTAAGGGCATGCCCCAGAGCATTTTCGTACCCCCGAAAAGAAATATGGTTTATTTGCGTACCTCAAAAGATCAGCGAAATCCCTCAGTGCAGCTGAACATTTCCGCTAGTTGAGGGGGGGGGGTCGTCAAAATAATCTGACCCCATCAAAAAGGCGGCAGCGTCTTTGGGGGTCCCAAAAAGGAGACCCATATTTTGACTGAATGTTCTCATTCGCGGGTTCCCCATATTTCCCGATTAAACATCACCCAAAGCGGACGTGTCGAGAGCCCAACGCCCGTCAAGGGCGCTTTCAGAAACTTCGGTTTTGGAGGGATGAATGCCAGTACCCCATATACAAGTGGTATATGGGTCTGTCTTTTTTGGGGGGATCCGTTGGTGGAGCGGTTTGATTGGGAAACCAAACGGAAACCAGCCATTTTGGGGTTCCCCTATTTAAGACCAACCCACATGACCTCTCATACCTCCAACACCCATACCTGAAACTGCCTGAATGACATTGCACATTTCATCATGTTTCGCCTTCTGGTGACTGGATCATAGAGGAGCTCGCGCAGGGCGGCGAAAGACAGGCGGCTGTCGTTCCTTGGCTCGAAGTTGCCAGCAACCTCCAATCGAGTTGCCCAAACTCGTTGAACAAAACTCACCCCAAAGGACCCAGAAATACCAGGTCAAGCTTTCGGCGGCCATGAAAAAACATGGACCAAACGGGGGACCCAAAGGTCAAAAGGTCGGCTTGGGACAAGTGAGTGCAATGGTCTGCTAAGGATCAAGTCCAGCGGAAAGGGAGGAAGTGGTCCAAAGTGAAAAAGATTGACCCTCGGAACCTCCTTGAAAGTGATCCGAAATCAATTAAATGGGTGGCTGTCCTTTTGGTTTCCCTTTAAAACCACCAGAAATGGGGGTGCCAACTCTAAAAAAGACACACCCATTTGAGACAGGCTGAAATGAGATGCCCAAACTAGGGACCGAAACCATCCCAAAAAAGCATCCCCTGTTTCTGACACATCTTCAATCTTGTTCGGGAGTCATAGAATTTAGCCACCAGAGCCTGACTCCAGTTACACGAAAATGAAAGCGGCCCATGTCGTTCGGGCTTAACACCGCTCGGGTCTTCTTTTGCTCAGATTGAAATGGAACCCCAACATGGCGTCCGTGGGTCCTTTTTGGGTTTGATGATGATGATTGAACGTTTGCGGAGGAAAATGCATGGACTTGGACAAGAGATACCGTAGGTTCTAACTACCTGATCATGCTCCACCATGTCACCAAACGGACCCCAACCACTTGCAAAAAGAATGCCTCCTACTGTTAGGGAGCATGAAGTCCAATGCACACCAAAAGAAATCGGTCGCGCGCAATCTTGACGCTTCCCCTCATCCATGGCTCTTCAGGAGGCGCCGGATGACGAAGGGATAGGCCATCGCCACCTTGCAATGGCCAATGTTCAAGCACAAGCTGGCTGAGAACAATTGCGGGGGGGGAGTCTGAAAAATCGACAACAAACTCCTTCCACTTTGGGTTTCCTTTTGGAACAAACGATTACAAATTCTAGCACCTACTAGACCTAGGATTGACAAGTTGTCCATCTTCAACATGTTTTATTAAAGGCCAAAGATACAGGATATGACCAAACCTCTTCCTGTTGGTTGATGTTGAAGGGAACACCTCTGCTTTTGTTGGTTGACGTTCAGTACTGCTTTTGGACACTTGCCCGCTGTCTGTGACACCAAAGTTGGCCATCGTGAGGAACAAAAAAAGAAAAAAAACTTGGCCACTTCTACTTGGGGATTTCTTGGCACATGACATGGGTTGAAACTCAGTGAGCCGCAGTCAGATAGTCAGGTGGTGAAGGGATCACTTCCGTTGATGTTCAAGGAAAAACAAGAAAAACACACACACACACACACAACAAAGCCCCGAGTTTCCAAGTACCTGTAAGGAAATAGACCCCTTACCCCTGAAACGCCATCCTCAGGGACTCAGGAAGTACCAAGGGACCCTCAACAATAAAACCAAAGCAACGAGTGAGCCGACCCCCAGGCCAGGCCACGATCTGATACTCCTTGTCCCCCTGCAAGGCCACGCCCTCCAAAGTGGCCACGGAGCGAGCCAGCAGCGACACGTAGGGAGGGATGGAGAACTTCACCTCCATGTTCACCTGGGCACTTTGGTTTTAAAGGGTTCATTTAGTTTGCTTTTTTCGTTTTAAAGGGTTCGGCTCTACATTGGTTGTTCGGTTGTTCTGTTTGGTTATTTGGTTTGGAATGGTGTTTGAAAGGGTTCATCCTTAGTTTTTTGTATTGTTTGGGTATTTGCGGTTTGGAATGTTGTTTTCCAGCTGAAACGAAGCAGCTGAACTGAGTGTCGGAGCCGTAAGTGGTTTCTGCTTGGCTTTTCAAGATGGCCTTTTTGACCTGGAGCATGCGAAGCTTCATTCTCAAGCGACCTTGCAAACAAAAGCATGGCCAACTGAAGTGCAGGCAGCGGCTTGCGTAATATTATTTAAATGTGAATGTTAATGCGTGTCATTTGAGTGTCGCGCGGAGGCGAATCGAGGTCACTTAGGTCACGAAGAGGCCACTTACGGCGCTCGTTTTGAGTGTCATTCGAGTGATCCAGTTTGGAAACAAGGTCCCTACAGACACGACACTTAGAAACAAGTGGTTCCTGGCTACCTTGAGGAGTGTACATTGGAGCCCAATCTATGTCAGTTGTTGACGAGCCAGCAGCGACTGACACTGAGCTGGTTGTTGCAATTGAACTAAAATAATGAGACTCATGGCAAGATTGCTATTCATGGCCTGAGTGGCGCTCGAAACCCAGTGACTTTTTGTTCTACCAAAGTGGTTGCAAAAGCTTTACATAGGCCTTGCTATACCATTCAGTGGTTTGGGTTAGTTGTTTGCAGTATTGTGGGGTTCCTGCCTTCATTGGCGATTCAGGTTGGTGGTTCAAAACATCTCTGGTTTCTTCATCTGAAACACTTCCCTTCCTTCTGGCGATTCCATGCCAAGCCGCCGAGAAACCCCACATAGGACCCGCGCCCCTTGACCCTGACGCACGGCCACCCGCCCGCCTTGAGGAGGTCTTGCGTCAGGGCCTGGAAGTTGGCGTTCTTGAAGGCCTGCGCGCCGCCGCCCTTCAAGTAGGGCCGCAGCACCCGCTGCAAGATGGGCACCTACGAGGAAGGCCGTGAACGCAAGCTGAACGGGGGGGGGACTGGTGCAGGTGTCCCAAACCTCACTTGAGGTGTTGGAAGCTGCCACAACTAGGTACATTCTGGTTGTAAGCAAGCTGAGCTGGGCTGGCATCTAGGAGTCTATGGACGTTTTGGGATTGACATGAAAGGCTGTGCTGCTAATCTAGGTACTGTTCCCACCATGATCATCCCAACAAGTACGACGTCCCGAATCTGGTAGAAAGCCAGCCTAAGGGAGGCGGAAGAAGCACCTTTTCCCCACCTTGGCCAACGTTCAACCTGAAACCAGGGACTCAAACATTTACTTTACATCAGCACTGTTTTAGTAAGGGGCAAAGAAATAAGATCTTCCATTTGGTTAAGACCCCTAAAAAAAACATATTTCCAGTAGTGAAAAACACCTTTTAAAACCCACAAGATAAAATAACAACTATTCTTAAGCAAATGGAAATGATGGTAATTACCAAACATTGACCCGGCAACAGCGCAAAAAACACTTCTCCAGTCTTGGGGGCAGGAATCCCCGATGCAGGGGTAAAAGGGCAGGATCCTGGGGGGACCCAGCTATCGCACCAGCCAGACAAAATGTCGGTCGGGGCGCCAGGGCATCCTTGTCGGTGTCCGGCGCCAGAAACCCGAGCTCCTGGAAGTCTGCGATCAGAGCCTCCCAGTTCTGCGTCCCTCAGCCGGTCCCCGGGCCGCGCCGTCGCTGGAGGGGACCCGTGTTCTTTTTGGGGTGGTTGAAACAGGAATACATGGAATGTGGATGGACGAAATCCTGCCTACCAAACTCTGGAATCATGACTCCAGCGAAAATCCCAACCAACAATGGAATCCCATGGTTTCAAAGTGGTGCAGGATTTGGTCCATCCACAGTATGGGTGTCTCTTTTGGAGGGCACCATGAATGTACCAGCGGCCAGGGCAGAAAAAGGACACCCTGCTTGGGCTGGCTGATTTTGAAGGGACGCCCAGTTTTCCATGGAGTTTGAAAGGAACATCCGCCCGTTGACCTCATGTTCAGCCACCATGTGTCTCCTCGAAACCTTCCTGACGTCAGGCTTGAAGTATTTCGTGCAAGTACACCCGGGGTCGCTTCAGGCAAGGTCTATCGCGGCACTCGGATCAAAACATTGGAGCCTGACACAAAGATGAGGCTACTTTCAACACTAGTACATTAGCAAAGGAAGTCCACACCCTGCCAGGATCCCGTCAATGACCAATGTCTGGGAGGAGCACGAGTTGGTTTGTCGAGATGCGCAACGCGGCTCCGTTGAATCCCGCCGCCACGCCGCATGATCAGAGAAGCTTTGGCAGGTCCGAGTCAGCAAGCATCACCGAGCAAGAGCAGGGAGACAAGTGGGCAAACAAGTGCGGAGACAGCCGGGTACCAGGGGCAAACCCAAACTCACACACAAACCTTCGTGGTTTGTTCAAAAGTCCAGGGGTTATGGCTGTGAACAAGCAAGAGACAGAAATACCCACCAAACTCCAAGTCCATCAAACAAAACAGAACTCAATTCGCCAAGTGCAGCCGCTCAGCCCAAATGCACCACCGCGGAGATGATGATTTCCTTAGTTTCCCATGGGCAGAAGGGGCATTATTTTTGCTCACATCTGGGATGCGCAAAATAATATGTTGTGACTCATCCATACTTTCTCTATTTTTTTTCTGGTCAAATTCAACGTTGCGCGAGCACGAACATAACAAATGATGCGTGATCTGTGTTGGTGGTCAAAGACCTTGTTGGGGGCTACGGTTAGGTCGGCTGATAGCCGTGCGGGGGTCCCAATTCCGAAAATTCTGGCAAACAAGAGCACTCCCCCCCTGCAAACAGGTTGGGTGCACCCAGAACAAAGGGCTCCAAGGCCCATGGATTGAGTGTACCCCCCAAAAACAAACCAACAACCCCCGACGAACAATTCAACCAGCAAATGCGTTTCCCTCACCTGTAGGCAAGGAACCAAAGGCAACCGCTTGGCTCAGTGCAAGAAAATCGGGGTCCTTTGGGGGAGCGATGGGTCACCAAACGGGGTTCCTTTGGCCCATTCTTTCCAGGTGATCCTTCTTTTCAGGAAACCATCCAAAAACCCAGGTTGGAAACAGATCCGGGGTTTGAAAAGGACGATGGTTGAAAAGAATGGAAAAGGAAAATCAACCCCTAGAATTGTGCGTTTGCTTTCCCTTTAACCCTTTAACCCCCCCCCAATCCCGTTGGTTGTTTGAATCCTATGGTTGGGTCGCCAAACCTAATGTGTCTTTGTGCTTTTTTGGACCAGTGGGGAGCTCGCTTTTGGATGGGAACCCCGAATCAGTCCCTCGCCAAGCCGAGCTCTTGCGCTAAGTCTCCCGATCCTTGCGCGGCACTTGGGCCACCAGTCCAAAGTCCAGCAGGCAGAGCTTGCCCTCGTCCGGGCCTAAAGGCGGAGGAGCCGTGGGGGTGGCCCAGGGAACTCGGAGTGACCGATTTTGAAGGGGAATCTGACGGGTTTCTACGGGGAGTTTGACCGGAGTTGGAGTGGGATATCGGATTTGACCGGTTTCTACGGTTCACTGGAGTTGCACTGGTTAGAGGGGATTTGATTGGGTTGGTCATAGGGAGGCCCACCAAAAGAACAATTAAGAGAATTGGTGCCACATGGCTGGGCGATCATGAAACCGTTTGATGAAACCATGATCCATGTTCAGGGTGTCGTTGATAAACAAAAATGCAAAAATCACTGGCTTAGCTACTTGCAACAAGCAATACTATTCATCCAATGAGCGTTTCTATGAGGGGTTCCACTTTTCCAAAAACGGAGCTTATTTGTCTTGAAGAAAACTATCCGTTCACGGTGTCCCCAGGTTTGTCTTGCGGGAAACTAGTTCTGGACGGGCATGGGCCACAGATCTTTTGGAAAGGGCTCGGAATCCTTGTGACACTTGCCTACCTCACCCACCCACCCACCCACCCACCCACCCACCCACCCACCCACCCACCCACCCACCCACCCACCCACCCACCCACCCACCCACCCACCCACCCACCCAACGAACAGATACGTGACCCTAGGACTCACAAAGCAAGCATGTCTTGTGAAAACATTGTTCAGGCGACAAATGGTTTCTACCTCCTTGTGGCTTCCAAAAAACAAGCGCCAGAGTTGCACACACCCAAATGAGTACGGATCAAAATAGGGGGACCCTCAAATGGTGGGTTTCTTTTGGCCCCCCCTTTTTCAAAGCTGGAAAAGGTACCCTCAACAAAACACACAGACAACGAAAGGAATCCTTCGCGGAGCGAGTCGAGTCTTTGAATCTCCAGCTCTTCCCATCTGGGTGTGGCTCAAAATTTTAAACAGGAGGGGCAAACCGCAGGTTTTGGCCTCTATTTCCACTTACCAGGGCAACCACAGCCATCTCTCCCGAAGCCCCGAAGCCCCGAAGCCCGAAGCCAACAGCCCGGGCCTTCCGTGACCTTGAGGAGGTTGCCGGGATGCGGGTCCCCGTGAAAGAAGCCAATGTCCAGGAGCTGGGTCAGGAACACCTCTTGGCCAATGGAGATCAACTCCTTGATCTCCTGGGGCCAAAAGGTGTGGCTTTCTTTTTGGAGCGGGGTGCCCTTACAGAACTCCGATCTCCCAAAGTCTCCCTCTTCAAAGGCAGACTTGGAGATCAGCTCCGGAACGGCTCCTTCCAACCACTAGCTAGTGAGGGGCTTATCCTTGGCTTGTCCAAGCCCCCTCCCATGGCCCCCCACTGCAAGGGTCCATGTCGAAGAGTCTGCCAACTCTTTTTACCTGACAATCGAGGAATTGTTCGACTGTAGGCGGCTGCATGTTCGAGGACCCCCCCAAGCCGTGCTTCTTCAGGGATCACTGGACTTCCCCTTCAAATGCTTTCATTTGCTGGTGGTTCGCATTCAACCGATCGCCACTTTTGGTTCCCAAAGCTCCGTGACATGGAGGTACTTGGAACAAAAATCAGGACGCCTGGGTCAGGAAACGTATTTCTACCAAACACCTCTTGGGTCAGGACACCCTAGTTCTTTGGCTCCGGTCGGGTCCCGCCCGATTTTTTTTCAGCGATCCCGGTCCGGCGGGGGCAGTGTGCTGAGCTTCACCCCGTTCACCCACTCCGAGAGCATCACGCGGCGACTCGTCTGCTCCATCAAAGGGGTCGGGATGATCACCCTCATCCAAAACCAAAACCCATTCGAGTCGGAAGTTGACGGAAAAACCCGGGGTCAAACAAACAAACAAACAAACAAACAAACAAACAAACTGGATTTATTGCGTAGTCTTCAAAGCCATTTGGGCAAATTTGTTGTTTTGCACAGTCAGCTAGAAGAGGAAACCAATATGATGTAACACAGTTGGTTGACATGCCGAGGCAAGCCCAAGCGGGGAGCTTTTAAAAGGGGAGGACTTGGACCTGTGATCTTGCCAAATTTGCAACGTCCACGTGATTGAGGGAAAATACATGAATTCAGCTTGGCGCTAGATACGAGGGCCCGGAATAAAGAACCAACGCATATCCAGGTTCAATGTTTACATGGGATTTGGTGAGCAACATCCCAGATCTGAATGGGAATTGAGGTGAAATATGCCGCCGAATTCGTGTGTCTGCCCAGAGGACGCCGTTTTGTCCAGATTGGACACCCAGCCCAAGCGACTACTCACTTGAGTGCCCGACAACCCCAACCTTCTCGTCCATGGTCCAAACCCAAATCCCCACCAAGTCCGGGAACTCAGGGAGTCAGGATGCTCGCCAGGGTTAGCGGAAAGAGGCCTTTGGGACCTGACTTCGTTCGTGCTCCGCAAGAATCCCTTTGTGACTGAACAAAAATCCAGATCAACTCCACGCTGTGCAAGTGATTGAGATGAAATCCATACTGATGGCCCAAAACGACGACTCAGAAGTGGGGTGGCGGATTTCAAGGGACACCAAAACCAAGACCCAGTTTGCGGGTCTAAGAAAGACACATATAATAGCTGTGGGTCAAAAGCAGGTACCAAAGAATGGAGCCCTAAATGGAGCCAAGGACTAAAACCTGCTTTTGGCCAATTCCTGGTGCTTAAATTCTGACCCATACCCAGATTTGTTGCTTCCACCAAACACCACCTCTCCGCCCCAAGTCGGTTCCAAGCCGCTTCTCCAGCGCCGCGGGCTCCAGCGCCTCTTTCAGCAGCTCCTGGGACATCCGGCGTCGAATCCCCAAAACCAGACTTTGGGCGTAGCTCAACGGGAAAACCTGAGTCACTTTTCCCATGTGGCGATTTTGTCAAATCTTGTTCGGAGGTTTCCCCTTCTGGTCACCCCCATGTTGTACGGAGCTTTTGATCAAGCTCCATATGAGCCACAATCAAAACCCGGTATTAAATGATTAAAATGGTGAACCCAGAACCATGCTTCAAGAATTGGAAAGGCGGATATCCGCAACTATTTCCGGCTGGGACTGCCCCTTACTAACCCTCATCTACCCGGGTTTTGATTGTGGCTCACCTGAAGTTGCTGGATTTTGTTCCTTGGCGCCCCTGCAAAAACCATATCCCCAAATGGATGTAAACTGTTTGTTCTTTGGTGCAGCTACAAAAGTAAACCAAAGATAAGTTGGGCATGTGTTTTGCAGGGTACTCCCTTTTGGGGTGGCGTGAACGGGAAGTAGGGCATCCACCGTACCTCTCTTTCATAGAGACCAGCGCTTCAACCTGACTCGTTTTGGCAGAAATCGGAGCCCATTGCCGCAAGCATATTCGCCCAACTCAGTCGATTCACTGAGCTGGTCCCTTTGTACCTCAGCCATTTTTGGACCACGTCTTAGGCCAGTCGGGTCGACTCGTTGGCATCAGCGAATGCAACTCATTCCGATCCACATGGAAAATCGGCCCCTTTCTGGTGCCAAAGGGGGTTGATTCCCATCCCATTGACTCATGTATCCAACCCAAACCTGGGGACCAATCACAATAAGGATCGTCTGGTAACATTGGCAGTGTGACCCCAACGGATTTCAAACAAATAAAAGACGATTCTCCAAGTGCAAGCCCCCAAATAGGGCACCCCCCCCGAAAATGGATGGTGTTGCTCCAGTTTCCCGTTGAAAGCATCCCGAAAAGGACATCAACTATGATCAGGTCAGCCTTTCTTTACAAAGGGACAAACTAAGGCTGAAGCACGGTTCCAAGGACAAAGAACCTCCTTTGGCTTTTGGGTTCTTTTGCATTTACTCGAGTGACCCACATAGCTCTAGCAGGTTCTAGAATGCTACGTTGGGCGTGAGCGATCGGAACGGGGAAGTGGCTCAAAAGGGGACACCCTTGTTTCAGCCCGCTCGAGCTTCGAAAACGAACCTCGGCTGCTTTCTCCCCTGCTGAAAGCTTAACTTTTGGGGGCTTAATACGGAAAACCCATTCGTTGGCCAAAAGTTGAAGTCCTAACATCCCTTGGCAAAATGCACCAAAAAGAACAGCTCCCCGCAAAAAAAAAAAAACAACGTCGCCACGCCCAACAAGCCACGCGCAGAAGCCGAACGCTCCTCCATGCGCAGCGCGTTCAGCGCCTCGTTCCGGAAGTCCAGCTCCGTGTAGAGACCCTCAGCGAAGGTCTCCGTGAGGGCGATGTAGTCCTGAAGCTTGAAATCCGTTCCGCTGGCCGAAACGGCCGAAACGGCCGAAACGCAAGCCCAGGTGAAGAAAACCAGTGGTAAAACCAACCAAATATTCCAATTGGTGGGACTCCTGAAAAAAATTGCATGGAACCAAGCTGAAAGAACAAGCAAACACCCAAAGACATGTGGCTGGCAGCTATGTGATCTGATTTGCCTGTGCTCTTGCGGCGCCCGTCAGCTCTCATCATCTTGGGGCAGCTTCCCAGTCAGGCACCTTGTCTTGGTAGCTGACTTTTGAGGAAGGGCACTGTAGGTTTACCAGGTGTTTTCTTTGTTGGCACAGCTGCAGTGGGGAAGAAGTAATGGCGCTAACAGGGCGAGAACATATCGCGTGAACAAAAGGACTTGCACCCTGTCTTCACGGGGAGCGCTAGACGGCTGAGGCCAGATAACAGCGCTCCTCAGCTGCGTGCCTTCTCGGGGCCAAGGGGTAATCATCTTTCGAATGGGGTAGGTTGATTTAACACTACCAGTTGGTGATCATAGGGCAACAATGTGTGTCAATAGTTGCCTCCTTGTATTACCCTTGAGACCAAGCTCCCAGAAGGCCATTGAAAACCGAGCTGAGTCTTCCACAGGGCTCGTGGGAGCTTGCAGGTTGGCGACTTTTCAGCAGGGGTTGTATTTTTTGAGGATGTCCACCGTTTATTTTTGAGGTTGTTCACCTTTTGGCCGTTTTCAAAGCGCAAAGGAAACCAAAAGCAGCCCCTCTTGCCATTTTGGAGCTCCCACTACTACTTTGACACGCACCCAGTGTTCCAACTGCCCCACCCGCCATTTTCGGAGCCAAGGCTCCGTCTCATCCGCGGTGAAGCGGCGGATCAGGGGCTGCACCACGTCGGCGAGGCGGCGGAGCACGTAGAGGTCCTGTGGCCCACCGCCTTTTCCCCGCGTTGTTGGGACGGACCCCCAAAAAGAAAAGGCTGCATGAAAGGATTTGAGAATGAAAGCTCCAAAGGGACCCCTTTACAAGACTTGGTTTCATTTACACTCCCGTGGAAATAGTCCTATGGGCGGCGTCCCGGTTTGCTTGTCAAGGAGCGTAGGAGCGTGAAGTCCCAACTTGGGGACTGCCGACCAAAGCATCTCCAGGTTGTAACTCTCAATAGTGGCAGCCAGGATTCCAAAAGAGCACGCGAAATGAAGTGGAATTCAAGTTCACCAAATGCAAAGGCATACTTGGAATCTCTGGCAAAAAGAAACGTGTGCCCAAGAAGGCCATAAGTTCTGCTGAAAATGGTAGAATAACATGTTGTGACCAACAACACATACCATACCTGCTGTGACAGGGCTTCTAATCAAACAATGCATGCGCCTACATTCCCAAATGATGTACAGGTCCCCAACTAAAATTCATCATTTTGAAGGGTACTCAAACCAAAATAACATCCGGGCAAATGATGTTAGGGTCCCAAACCCATTCGTTTTGAAGGGTATCTCTGTCTTCGCGTTTTTGAGAAGAAAAACAAACTCACCACCTCGAAGCCTTGCGCGAATGGATTGGCTCTCCTTGGACACCGTGCTGAGAGCTCCCGGCCTCCGGCACGGGGGGAAGGGTTGTGAGACCCTTTATGCCTCTGGGCCAATAGGATTTGACTAACTCCACAAATGTGGGTTGAAGAGAACCAAATCGCTTGTGAGTTGGAGCAAGTTGGACAAATGAGGATGAAACGGTTGACCCTGCAACTTGATCTTTCCAGGGCTGCAAAGAAAAACTGGACGGAAGGCCCGTCTTGAACTTGAAGCTGTGGAGATTTCCAAGGAAATTCCAAGGGAAAGTGTCCGGATTGGGGGGCTCACTCCTTGGCTTGCTTCTGTTTCCGGTTGAAAGAAAGAAAACCCCAACGACCCCTACAACCTGGATTCTTTTCTTTTGGAGGCCTTTTGTTTGCCAAAGACCAGCGGCTAATGTTCGCATCGAGTTTGTGTCAGTATGGCATGACTAGGTGCGTGGACTACCGAGCGGATTCAGGGAACCGGATCATGCCGATGGTCGAACTTGGAGGGAAGCCAGCAAGCTCTGACAGCGCTTCTTTCGGGCTTTGTGAGTAAAGCCGGGTAGAGCGGCCTCAACATGCAAAGCATCAAACAGGGCGCACCTGTGGCAACAACCCCTCACTTCCCATCCAAAGAGGACCCCAGCATACAACTTACTGGTTGCTTCACTCACCTACATCGGCCGCCCCCCCCCTTCTCGTGAGCACGGCACGGCCAAACAACTTGCTGGCTGTTTCAGGTGATCTCGACCCTTCGGTTTGGCGACCGCCGAGCGCGTCTCCCGCTTCTCCCGCTTCTCCCGTGACTCGCGTCTCCCGCCGCGTCTCCCGCCTCTGGACCTTCACGGCCACCTCCTGCCCGGTGGACCGCAGCGTGGCGCGGTAGACTTGCGCCAAGGAGGCCGCGGCGATCGGCTCCTCGGAGCTGAGTGGGGCGGTTCCCTCCCCCCCGCGAAGGGACCAGGGAGACTGGGGCAATCCCGTTTCACTAGGCTGTCACCCTTGAAGAGAATGGAGCCATGAACGAAAATCCAAAAATCCGAGCTGTTTACCGCCAAAAACGGGTGGACCAGCTATTTGTGTCAACCAGAGATGTAAATGAGTGTTTCCCAAAATGAGGGACCCCTATGACTGGTGCACCATCCAGATCCTCATTTTGCGGATACCCTCATACAGTTTGTCAAAGCCATTTCGCTTCTGGCAACCGCCCAATAGTGGGCCGTAGTACCACATGGGCTCGCAAAGGCATGTGCGCATCACATGTAGGTGTGGCCTCACCTGGGCAGCACCAACAGCAATAGGCACCACAGGGCCTGGCGACTGGCTTGTTTTGCGGGGGGCTGCGAGCTTCGAAGAGGAAAACGAGATGTCACCAGGCATAGTGTCCACTTGCCAAAGGCACAGTTTTGCAGCGACCCATTTTTCCGGATCGGATCCGCTGAATCGAGGACTCAATGAACCGGCCCAACCTCGGATTCCCTACTGAACTGGGCTGTCCTCAGATCCTCCGCTAAAAGTTTAGCTTTTAGTGGGTTAAATGGAAACTCCCACCAAACCCTAAAAGCCAAAAAAGCTAAGGGGACGGCTGGGGGCCACCAAGTGAATTGATATGTCCAAAAGTTACACCCTGAAATCACCAACTGACTGAGCATGACACATCCCCAAAAACTCACACCTCAAGGGCACCTCGGCTTCAGCCCCAGTGGTCGGAGAAAAGGTATGCCGGAGCGAATGAGCGACGCACCTTTTGGCTCGCCCGAGGCACATCGCCGAAGGAGGAAAAGACTTCATCCACGGGCTTCCCCATCTCCTGGCCGAAGGTGACTTCTTGGAGAAATAGATGGGTTTCCCTGGCCACAGGTTTTTCCACAAACAATTCCTTGTTAAGGGACCCCCTGTCAGGTGTCATATTCGTGGGAGGGAGGGTAAATGGTTTATAAAACCAATCTAAACCAGTGCCCGAATCCTTTTCTAACCAAACAAAGGTCACCTCGGCTCCTGGCAGCGGATGGACGATCGTGCCGGAACGAATTCCCAAATTCGGAAACTCAGGAAGTCCGAGGAAAGGCGTGTCCAACCGCCACCCGAGAGAAACCAAGGGGACGGTTGAAAAGCAGGGTCAACCAAAGGACACCAAGCACAACTACGGAAAACCACGACAAACCAAGGTTGACCAATTAAGGTATATGTAAAACATTGTAAAACCAAGGCAAAGCAAGGGAAACTAAAAGCGAATGACTGTCCCAGCCCCTATACTCCTGGCAAATGGGGCTGTTCGCTTCTTGACCACACGCTGCCGGGCTGTGTCCCAATAGAACCGTGCGCATATGCAGGACCCAAAACCACTTCTGATTCCGTGCTGTCTGCTTTCTGATCCCCTGCTAGCCACCTTTGGTGGGTTAAATGGAAACTACCACTAAACCATAAAAACCAAGCTAAGGGGACGGCTGGGAACTACCAAGACTTTGATACAAACCGCGTCGCAAAGGATCCCAACCAACTTTCGAGAGTGCCAGGACCCACCCAACGGCTCATTTCATGAGTTGAACTGTGACCCAAAGGGTGTTGAAGTTGGGGGTCGCGCCACTGGAACGGCTTTCAAAATATCTGACTTGAGACCTCTTGAAACGTTGTGTGGAATGGGCTCTGCCTCGGGACAAGGGGGCAAACCGCAGCAATCGCAGCCTTGACCGAAGGAGACACACATTCCTTCCATAAACCTTCAACATGGAGGCCCCCAAATGTCTCGCCTTCTCAATGACCCTGCGAGCTTCCTCAGTGGGGAAAGTCTCGATGTCGTCCTGCGGATGTGTTGGCAACACTGCAAGATGCCCACTTTTGCGAGTCCGAAAGGAAAAGAAAGGAAACCCAAAGCGGAAAAGAGCAAACCACGGTCAACTAAGTGTGGCAACGTACTTCCCCAACCCCTGGTATGGGTGATCTCCGATTGTGACTGGCAAACTCTGATAAATTTGTCCCATTCACTCTGATAAATTTGTTGAGTCACTTGCAAACTTGACCAAACAATGTGCTCTGAAGCATCCCACTCTCAGTTGCATGGGCTGGTAAGGCCCAAGGCCTATGCTGGGTACCTGTATGGGGACCGACGAAAAAACAAGTCTCAAGTGCAAAGAACCACGGTTCATGCTATGTCGCAGAAGGCAAACCTGGAATCGCGCTGGGACCTCATGAGTGAATTGTGACACTTCACCCAACACAAGCAAGACCTCCCACATGAATAAGATCGCGCAAACCCCCTTTGTGAAGCAGTAGCCTTTTCCCACACCGAGGTGGGAATCACTGAACCTGACGGGCTTGTCCAACGATGGACAAGGGTCAAGCTAAGTCAAAAGCTTCGCACTATGAAATCCCCTCGGCAGGGGGTTGGGAAGCCAAAGAGGTGCTGAGGGTTCCTTTCAGGAAGTCTTTCTTCAAATCCCAACTGCAACTAGTATCCCAATTGTGTCCTGCAAATGAATCGTTGTTTTGTATGTTAGTTTGCATATCTCTCCTTTTATGTCAGTACTCCTAAGTTTCCACCGAAACAGTCTTGAAGATCCTGGATCTGCGTGTCCACTCCCCCTTCTCACGCCAGACTCATTTCCCCTGTCCTGCAGTCGGGCCAGCTCTTTCATGGTCACCGGCCTCACTCGCAGGTGCCGCTGGCGCTCAGAAGCTTTTCAGCACGCAGCGCGCAAAGCCGATCCCTAGACCAGGCGATTGAACGAGTGACCTTGTTTGGGGTTTTGTTGGTCATTGGAGAGTCCTTGTAGATGTGCACCAAACAACGCTCCTTCTTTTGGGAGCCAATTAACTAGTGGCAGGTTCCTGGGTTGTGACAAATCGGGTCCGCCTCCCTGATGCGCCCTGAATTCACTGTTCCGCCTGAAGTGGTCAATCGCAATTGTTTTGCTTAAGGTGCTACCAACAAAAAAAATATGTTTACCAGTCATGCCCATTGTCCCTTTCTAGAGCGCAACTGAAAATTACCACAATTGTGGAAAAGGGTTCATAACTTTCTCTGGCGACAACCGCAATTGTTCAAGGGGGTCCTGGAAGGATGTGTGACACAACCAGCTGAAATCAACAAGGTGAATGCAGTTTGTGTGCTTCAGTATTCAGTATATGAGGTGCATTGACTGGACGGATGCGTCACACAACACTCGCTCATCAGGCGACAACTGGACAGCCCGTGTCCAGGGCTGTATGAATACAAAAGGTTTGCAACCGAAGATCCAACCCAAAGCGTATATTCAGTAGTCCCCGTAAAGCCGTCACAAACAGAATCTGTGTGTAAAGCGAAGGATCGCGCAGAGTACCTTTTAACACAGTACGGGTACAGGAACTGTTGGGTCAGTTGGACAGCCTTTTGTTCAAAATGCTTGAAGGGATGCAACACAGTCTGACACTAGCAAAAATTAAAGCCTAAGGATCCTCCCTCAACAAAAGGTTGGTCGCTTTCTAGCTTCCCTTACCCAACTCCCCGCAAAAATTGGAACCACCCGTATTTTGTCTTGGGAAAATCCGCCGTCCGGCGGGACTTGTTTAGAGGAAACGGAAAGAGCCCAGGGGCGGCAGCACGTCCGGGCGAATGGACAGCACCTGCCCCAGCTTCACAAAGGTCGGGCCCAGCTCCTGCCCCAAACAACCCGAGCTGTTCGGTTCAAAACACGACGCCTCCCTCGAACCATAGGCGTCCTTTTGGCGTCAATCGATGGCACTGGATGATTTAAAACCAACCTGAAACCAGTAGAACCCATCTATGTTCAACCAAAGCAATCCAAAAAGGACAACTATGCCTCTGTGCCTCCAACTACTGCGGATGGATGAAATCCGTTGGCACCACTTTGAAATTATGGTTGACAGTTTGCAGGGGAATCATCATTCCAGGGGTTTTTTAGGTGGTGCAGGATTCTCATTGTTGGTTGGGAGCTGAGTCGTGAACACTTCTTGCTTGTTCAGCATCCATTGGTGTTCACCCATTTCAGCGTCTGCTTGTGGTCCAAGGGAGTATCAGGACGCTAGGCTGAGCGCTACAAAATCGATCTAAACAGGGTTTGCACAAGCGTAAAGAGCCTGGGGGCTGAGGACAAGAAAGGCTCCAAACCCGGATTTCCAACAGGCTGAAATATATTTGAACATACAATGGGGGGTCGTTTGTTTCGAGTAGTGACTTGCTAGATACATGATTGGCGTGCTGAGTAAGCATTACTCTAGGCTTCCAAAGGCCAATAATCATGTTTTTTGTCGCCCAAGAATTGCTTAGGGTCAGGTCACTGAAAGTCACGTCGCCCTCATCCTCCCAGCTGCAAATGACTGCACCCAAGCCACTGATTCCCCGGCTTGCCAAATGTATGGTCGCATCACTTTTCAAAATCGCCAGGTGTCCCGCCTACTGTAGAGGCGTGCATAGATTCTTCGCATGTTGGTACTGAAGTCCGGCTTTTTTTGAAAAATGCTGCAAACTTAGTGGCTTCGGGGCATCGCTGCCGATCGGGCATGCGTTGTGGGCTCCTGCTCATTTTCTTTCGAAATCGCTTACACTATCAACAAACAACACGCGATCAGACTCTGTGGAGCTGTGGAGAAGAAGTGGAAAAGCACGCACGGGCATGTGAGGGACAAGCCAAATTGACACAGCGTGGTGACGGCGTGTGATTACAACGGGATGAAGCGACTGTAAAACATACTTAGCCTATTTCATAAAAGGCAGCAACAAAGTTCTTCAACCTCTCACTGCACAGAAGCGCGCGGGGATGTCAGCAGCCAGCCGTCTCGAGTTGGCCAAGTTTGTCTAGACCTACTTTTAATGGTCGAGGGACATTACTTTTATAGCCTTTCGTTGTTTAAATGGTCGAGGCTATTTGAGCAGAGTCTTTTTGGGTGTATGAAAAGGGGAACTCCGCGGAAGCCTACGCGAGCCTAAGCGAGCTGCAAGTTTACAGGTTTCAGCCTACGCGGAGGCAGTTCCCCGCAAAAAAAACAGCCTACGCGGCCTACGCGGACTGCGCAGGCACACTATTCCAGCCTACGCGGCTCCGGGGTGCTGCAAAAAAAAACCTCTGCTCACTTAAAGAATAGTCGAGGAAGCACAGGGATTATATCTTCGAACAGGGACACCCCCTGTAGTGTGCCCCCCCTACGGGCTAATCGTGCGGGGCCAAGGACCACTAGGCATAACCTTTGCATCTTGGTATGGCTCTGAATCAATGACACTCCGCTCCTGCATGTTGTCGACAGCCTGCCTGGCAAGGCTGGCTTCGTCCTCCCAGATGCGACCATTCAGCAGGGAGTAGAAGAACCGCGTGATGAAGGGAGTAGAAATCCTGCGGGGGAAACATGCATGTCAAAAAGCAGTGTATGCACGAAGAAAAAGCGCATTGTAGCTGCCTTGAAGCTGCTCTATTCAAACTGTCTGAGTTTTGAGACAGCTTGCTTTTCAAGCACACACACACACATATGACATACGTTTCAAGGGTACAACCAAACATAAGTATGACACTGGGCATAACTTAATGATTGAACAACTATGAACATGAACAGCCGACGTAAACAAAGCGAGTATGTGAGGGAGAAAAATATAATAAAACACATATAAATGATTATAAATGCATACATCCATGAGCAATATACCGACAAATATTATTGTGTCTCGAGGTAAAGTACATCATTCTGGCCTTGAGTTTGATTTGCTGCGATCTGTGATCGCAAGGCAAAGGAATAAGTTGCTTCTCTTGCACAAAGCGCTGAGTGGGCTTCATCTAGGCGCGCTAAATTATGCCGGCAGCTGCTCTGGCTACTCTCGGCATCTGCCTGAGTGTCAACTTGGCTGTGTTGGTCTGTCAATGGGATTTCCTGGTGGCTGCAGGGCAATGACCCACTACCAAAACGGTAAAAACAAGTAAAAGGGCGAGTAGCCTGCCCTGCTGACAGTCACGACTTCACCAGGAATGGCTTCAAAGGGCAACCGTCAAATTCAACGACCTTCCAAGGACTCAAGTCTTGTGTGGGTCTATGTTAGGTAATTTGATGGCCGCTATAGGGTCTATGTCAAGCAACTGTCTCCGCGCGGGTGGACTGTAGCTCACACATGGCTTGACCTTCGGGCTGGTCCGGGGTTGAAACATGTAGCCAATGCAAGCCTCTCAGGTTGTGCTAAACTGCCATTTTTGCTCGGCCTGCTACAAAAGTCAGTGGCATTTGATGGATGTACGAGTTATTGGTTTGGTCTTGTTCAGACTTTGGATTGGTTCCACTTGGTTGTCAGAACTGTTGGCTGAGGTTTGTTTGAGGTTGGCTTCACCACTAAAATGGTCTTCTCAAGAAATAAGAAAGAAACAGCCAACCCTTTGTTCGCTTCTCAAGAAATAAAAACGGTCCCTGAACTCGGGGAGTGAGAAACCCACAAAACCGTTTCTTCGCACAAAGGTCTCGGGAGCTGAGTGCGTCCCATTGCCGGCCACCAAGGGTCTCCTCAAGAAGCGGCTCCATCGATCTGCCAGCTCCCCTGGCTTGGTGTCCTGGGCTTGGGACCTTCAGTGGTTGGGGAGTCTTGCTACGGTGGATGCCCTAAATATTGCAAGTAGTGAACAAAGGAAACCCTGTAAATTCCCATGGTTTGTGGTTGACCTACTTGCAATATTTAGGGCATCCACCGTATAAGGAAGGCTGAGTACGTGGAGGCTTCGCAGGTCTAACCCAGGCAAGTCCGGGGTTCGGGTTGGCTTGGGGTTGGCACTGAGGCTGGGTTTAGGATGGTTTTGGCTTGGAAAAAAGACCTTCAATAGCGGGGTTGATCAATATTCTCTTCGGCTGCCGGCCATGAATTATCATACGTATCGTTTTGCAGTCCCAACCAATGGTCATCCCATGTGAAGGACCTTCCCATACCAGTTTCTTTCTTGCCCCACAGTGATCTGTTCAAGTTTCAGAAATATACCTCTCCCCCCTAAAATGATTCAGAGACTACGCGAAAGTTTGGCCAAACCTCGCATGCGAATCTGGTGACACTGAGAGCCAGAAAGCGCCGAAGCATACATTTCCCACCCAAGGAAATCACAATGGTATGAGTGGGTGATGGGTAAGTTTTTCAGCGCAGACTCTAAATCAAGACCCGGGCATTGCCACGGAATCCTGGACTATGGGTAAATGACCATTTCTGGACTGGACCATTACTAGGGATTAAATCGTTTGGTTTTTCTACAGGTAAACCGAAACTCACTTCCTGAGTGGATGGCCCCAAAAGTTCACACTTGTTGTCCACTAAAATGGTCTTCCCCGCCAAAAAGTCCATGAACTCAGGAAGCGAGGGATATCAGTTTTCTTGTGACGTTCACTCAAGACCCATTCCGGTTGCGGTTGTTTCGCTTATATTGACTCAACCCAAGTCATCTTGCTTCTGTGGAAGGACACCTCCCCTGGTTCATTCGTGCCAAAACCCGCACTTCTTTAAATGAATGGATGTGTCTGTTTTGAGGGTACCCCCTGTTGGGTGGTTTGTAAAGGAAAACAAAAAGTAAACCGAGCATTTTGGGGAGTCCAAGGCCTAAAAAAAGACACACCCGCATGGCTTCATGTTGGCATTTGAACATGGAGAAGCGGGACCTTGGTGTCGATTTCGTTCCCAGCGAGCAAGTCTCACAACGCAACGCAGGATGCGAGTGTTGAGCATGGAAGATCAAGCCAAAGCGTAAGTGTCACAGTATATGTTTGAAGATTGGCCTGTGGCGCACTCCAAGAAAACCCACACCTCACCTGTAAAAACGCGAGCCAAAGGGAACAACTCCCAAAACAAGTTGGCACCCAACGCCACAACCTGCATGCTCCAAGCCTGTTCTTCAGAACCCGCCGGAAAACATGCGGCCTGGTTGCAACCAGGATTGCGTTCTTTGGGGAAAAAAACAACTTCCAGTGACTTGGAGCAGAAAAAACTGGGTGGGGGGCGGGGGGCAGCTTGAGCTTTAAGTTTAAGGAAGTAGATCTTTGGAACAGTCCCGACGGGCGTTATGTCACCCAGCTAATACAAACAAGACGTGGGGTTTTCTCAACATCCGCGGGATCCCCAAATCTGGTTGGCTTTTCTGCAAAACCGACCAAATTAGTGGCCCCACCTCAAAAAATGACATGCCCAAGTCTGCCGTCGGCCAAGTCGCCCAGAACTTTGCGATACCTAAGTGCCGAAAAAGGAGAGCTTGTTCCGATTTCAGGTATTCGGTTGATCGGACAATGGGTCTGTTTATTTTTTGAGGGTGCCCTTTTTTGTGGCTGTTAAAGGCAACCCCAAGAGGAGAACCACTGTTTTGAGGGGTCTCCTAAAAACGACACACACACAAAAAGGAAGTTTGTCTGGAGTTCACAGCTAGAAGCCATGGCCATGGTATTTGGTACTTTCATTTGTAAATGGTCCTTTCATTTGCTTGTGTCTGCGGCCAGAGTCTTTATGAACAATCAGCTCAAAAATGACAAAACATGACTTGGCCTTGGTTGCTCTTGGAACTTACTGGTGATGTCTAGAACTATAAGTTTTGGGTTTTGGGGGGGCGGGTGTAATGTTGGGAGGTTTAAGTCGGGTAGTAGTGGGCTCGTCGTTTAGGGTTGAGGATCGATGCGCTTTGTAGATCCTGAACCGGAAATCCAGGTCTTGGATTTGGGATGGGCAAACACACACACACGCACAATTTAAGGTCATGTTTGAGCAATCCTTCCTCCCAAGCCACCCAAAACACAAAAGCGTTACCCCCCCCCCCCCAAACAAGTAGGAAGTGCACTGGACAGCATGATGGCCCTTATAGCATGTCTGCGTGCTTTTAACCTGGCCGCGTCGTGGAAGCTGCTGCGCCACCTGTCAGCCACAAGTTCAAGCTTATTCAGTGGTTGCTGTAGGGTGTGGATTCAGCTTCCAAGTTCTGGAGATGAAGGGTCCCAGGAGGGTTGACTTTAGAGGTCAGGGTTTTCAGTGAGTAAGAACAAGGTTGCTGAGGCAGAAGGCACTTGCATGAACTGAGGCTCTTTTCACCTATCTAGTGCGAGAAGGTCTGGGTTTGGGGGGTGAAGGGCTGGAAGGTTTAAGTCTGACAGGTATTGTGGGCTCATCGTTTAGGGCTGAGGATCGATTCCGATGCACTTTGTCGATCCTGAACTGGAAGTCCAGGTCTTGGATGTGGGATGGGCAAGAACCCGTGCACACACACACACACACACTTTAAGGTCATGTTTGAGCAATCCTACCTCCCAAGCCGCCCAAAACACAAAAGCGTTAGCCCCCCCCCCAAACAAGTAGGAAGTGCACTGGACAGCACGATGGCCCTCATTGCATGTCTGCGCGCTTTCAACCTGGCCGGCCGCGTCGTGGAAGCTGCTGCCACCTGTCAGCAACAAGCTCACTCAGTGAGTGGTCAGGGGTTACTGTAGGGTGTGAAGGGTGCTAGGAGGGTTGGGTTGTCGGACTTTTGAAGACGTGGGGTTCAGGGAGTAAGACCAAGGTTGCTGTGGCAGAAGGCACTTGCATGAACTGAGTCTCTTTTCTCCTCGCATGCTTGTGCCGCATTGCTCATAGGCACCGGGTGATATTGCACAGGCAGGCTGCGGCTGCCCCTCAAAACTTGCGCAGCTCTGAAACCGGCTGACGCTGCACCGGATTGCCATTGCCCATCATATAGTGTCTTTTTTTGACGGTACCTTTTTTGGGATTTTTTTAAATGACAAAGGAAAATAGCCATTTTAGGGGTGCCCTAATTTTGGGACAAACCCATATGAACACAGTGTTGCCAAATGATGCTCACATGCGGCGGGCGATGCTGCGCAAGCTGCTGCTGCCCCTCAAAACCACTGCCTTGCCTTTAGAAGAGCCAGTAATGCGCACCCGACTCTTTTGCAGCCTGGAAAGCTCAGGCTCCACAGAATTGAGCAGATTACGACGCACTGTTGACAAAGGAAGCTTCAGGTCAGCTGTGATAGACGCCCATTGGGCACCATTCAGCTTTGTGAGGGTGACGCGGCCAGACTTGTTGCCTTCCAAAACCTCCACGGTGAGTGTAACAACGACGATCGCAACTTCTTCAACCAGGAGAGCAGGAAACTTCACATGGGACAGGAGCCACTGGTGTACACAACGGTGCTTGTGCTTCTTGTGAGCAACGATGGTAAAGACCAGGTGCGCTTTGTCCCGCCGTGGTTTGAACGAGACCTTGTTCTTGCCAGTCCTCCAAGCCTCCACCAGTGACTGGCGGTCAAGCTTCGCAACATGACCCCATGCTGAGGCGCTTGGCAGCTCCCTGCTTGCCACTGGGAGGCCATAGTTTGCTCGAAGCCCTCGCAGATTGCAGCTTGCAGACTGAAACAAAGGGCAGAAATCGTGTTCTTCAGCAGCCATGGCAAGAATGAGCAGTACTAGCAGTACAACTATCATTCCAGCATGTTTCTCACTGCCTTTATTGTTATTGCATAATGGAGGAGCTTTGGGAAGTTGTGGACCACAACGCAAAGCTCAAACCATCAAGCCTGAAGCACACAGTACAACCATCCTAGACTCTGGGTGGGTGAAGCAAAACGGCAGCGCAGCACAGCCTTGGTTATGGCTTCTCATGCGCACTGGACTGCTCATCTTCAGCAACTGACATGGGTTGCACATGTTCACATGTGCTTCCCCTGCCTCGCGCCCTGGACTCAAGCTGCAGGCAGCCTTGCCAGGAATGATTGCTAGCGCTACCATGATAGGAAACAAACTTCTGAAGTGAGCATGAGAAGGGTACTAGGATGACTGAGGTTCAGAAAGGTTACTTTGAGCAGTTTTCTCATGGCTAGTGGTTATTGAACCCCTACATGGCTTCTGGAATCTCGGGGCGTAGTAGTTACAGGATGCAAAAAGGTGGGCCAAGCCTTGCATTTCAGTATTCGGGAAGATTGAGGGCGTAAAAGGGAGGCTTGCAGTGCAGGGATTGCATGCTAAATGGGGTTAGGTTTGGACCTCTAGGGTTTAGGGGTTCAGGGTCAGGGTTGCGCAAAGGGTTCTGGGCTTCTAGGGATTCGTCTGGAGGCTCACTGCTGAAGTGCGCAATCTTCAAGTCCTGGCATTCCAGGTCTTGGCCAGGACCTGGAAGTCCAGGTCCTGGAAAGCAGCTTTAAGCGCCCAAACCCAAAGAATCCATGTTCATTGGAAGTGACAGTTTGTTCATGGAGAAGTGGCAGTTAGGAAAAACATATGACAGCAGAAACTTCCACCCTGATAACTTACTTATTTGCCAGCTCACTCAATATTTCCACACTGCATGTCAGAAACCTATTGCAATGGTATGCTGCATGTGGCCAGTGCAATCCAAGGCAGAAGTTCTCAAAAACATGTGCTGTTCAACGGCTGGCACGTCATGCATGAATACCTGCATGAGTACCATGTCAAACACACTAAGACTAATGACTTTTGCCACAAGGCGAAATCCTGGCTCCTGTCCTTGGCCCATTGACATGTAACTTGTTTGCTAGGCTGAAGTGTGCATGTGAAGGTGGTGGGCAACATGGGAAGGTGA